GGTAAAGTCATGCAAATTAGCATGCAAATGAGCCTGGTAAACTTAAAGATTCTGACCTGAAAGTGGGTGCTTTGTGGGTAGGATCCCACAGCCTCTGGGAAACATGCAGGACCAGGTTGTTGCCAGCCATTGGCAACCATTACCAGCCATAGCCAGTCATTCAATAAAGTACCCTGGAGGAGGCATTGCTGGCTCCTAAGGTCACAAGGCAGGCACCTGGCCTTTCAGTGACACAATCTGTCTTCTGGTGGTTACTTTCCTCCATATGAAGAGTGCCCATCCAATTTGTAATTATGTATATGAATATATTTTATTGGTTCTGTTCTTCTAGAGAATGCTAATACAGAAAGCGGCTTGCTACCCCGTCCCAGGGTGGTCTCGGCACTCACATCACAAGAAAGATCACAGCTGTCATCCAAATCCTTGCCCATTCACCCTCCCCCGCCTGCATTAGTGGTTGAGCCTGTGACAGAGTTGTGTCTTAGTGGTGGGGTCTCTTGGGTGTGTGGTCTAGACAAGGCAGGGATGGATGGCTGCTGTGGGGGGCAAGCTTCCTGGACAAGAGTGAAGCGAGTGGCAGATGAGCAGGATCTGATGCAGCCGTAATGCAGGGAGGAATGAGTGCATGCAGAAGTAGTCAAGAAAGGCTGAGGTGTCTGGATCCCACATGGTGCGCATGGAAGCTGCATGAATGTGTGCACATGTGAGCATGTGCATGCGTGCATGCATGTATCCACCTGGAAGAGGAAGCCTAGCTTGTCAGATAAGAAGCCAGTTAGTGTACTATGTTAGGGAGAGATCTCTGTGGCCACAGCAGGAGCACACCAGAAGGAAACGGGAATAAAATCCAAGGCTGCGGGGTACCAGGTGATCACTAGGTGGCTAGGAGCTTCTCCCAGAGTATGGAGGCTGTACCATATCCACCTCAAGGGCCCAGGGGCAAATTCACACCAATCCATCAGCCATACCTACTCAGAGCCTATAAAGAGGGACTAGATGGGAATCTTGCAGCCCTACAACAAAGAGCATCTGGAGCCACCAGAAGCTGGCAAGGGCATCTCCTACTGGTGCCTCTAGAAAGAGCACGGCCCCCTTGTCTTTGTTTCACCCTCAGACCCCCAGGAAGGTGATGAGAGAACACATTCCTATTGTTTGAAACTACTTGGTTTGTGGCAATTTGTTATGGCAGCCCCAAGAAGTGAGTGTGGGAAGCCTTGGGGGCAGAGCAGAGTGGTGTAGCTTGAGGAGGAGCTGCAGGCAAGACCTCAGGAGCCCCCAGCCTGCAGGAAAGGCCAGGGCTTCCTAGGAATCCCCTTCAGAGTCAGAAACACTTTCCCATCACAGCAGTGTTCTCTGAGAACAGCCCTTCAGCACGTGGGCCTCTCCCAGAGGCAGCCCATTAGATCTGTTGTTTTCTAATTTGTATCATGGTGTGAATTCCAGGAGGGGCCACTGGCTCCCAGCCTTCTGTTTATCTCCATCACTTTCTAGATTTTTGTTTTTTATGCTAAGGTCTGAACTCCCAGCCATCCCCCACCCCACCAAGAGTTGCCCAATATGCAGACTGGAAAGAGAACCTTTGAGAGGTCACAAAGCATTGACTCTCCAACCCCAGCCAGCAGTTGCCTCCAGAGGACCACACCTATCCGGACTCCTCCACACAGCTACCCTTCCCAGGGCCTACAGGGGTTTTCTGAGTGTGGGGGAGCACACCAAGAGCCAACTCTTACTACAGGGTTTGTCCAGATTTTTCCTACCATAGAGTTTGAAGGTAACCTCCTAGTTGGAATTTTACATGAAGAAATCTCCACAGACACAATTCTCCTCTGGCTGAGGTGTGGTTTTCCACTGTACAAGTAAATTGACTTTTGTGGGGTGACTGGGCAAGGTGGTGAGAATATGTGGGTCAGCGGAGCGTGCGTGCGTGCGTGCGTGCGTGCGCGTGTGTGTGTGTGTGTGTGTGTGTGTGTGTGTGTGTATGTGTGTAAAAACACATGTTCCTCAAAGGTCCCCAGGGCTGGCAAAGTGGCAGCTCACCAGGGCCCACAGGCAGACTGAACCTTCTGAGAAGAGGACCCCACACTCAGGGCCTCATGCATGCTGACCCCAGACCAGGGTGGACTCCCGTCCCTGAGGATGGACCCCTGCCCTCTATCCCATGCCGAGGGTAGGCCGGGCTCTATGGCCTCGCTGTTTCCTTCTCCTGCCTTTCCACAGATCATGTGCTACACCACACAGACATCTTTGCCAGACTGATGGAGAGCATGGCGTCTGGAGACGTGAGGGGAAGAGCAAGCACTGTCTTGGATCTGTCTGACTGCCATGCTGTACTGGCTGCTGGACAGGCAGGAAACTGGTGGCGGGGTGACTAGCATGGCCACTATGCAGTGGGACAACCTGTGAGGAAGTAAATTTCATCCCCTAGAGCCCCCGGAGACCGTCCACTTCCCATCCACCTCTGCTGCTCTGCTAGAAAAACAAAACAAACAGGCTGTTCTCCTCCATCTCCAGAGGATTCATTAATTCGGGTGGTATGCACGCACACATGTGCACATGCTTGTTTATTGTGCATGTATGTATGTGTGCATGTGTGCGTGTGTGTGTGTGTGTGTGTGTGTGTGTGTGTGTGTGTGTGTGTGTGTGTGTAAGTGGAGCCCAGTTTCTCAGTCTGCTCTAAAGAGCTTTTGGAAAAGATTTCTACCTGAGGCTATAAAAAACCAAGTCAGACAATTCTGCCATGCATGGGGAGAGCGATGTCTACCCTGTGATCTCTCTTGACTCACCGTGACAGTGGACCTGGGAGGCTCTCAGTCTGAGGGCACCAGTGAGCTGCGGCAAGCAGCCACTAGTGTGCCAGGAGGCATCTGTGACACCATCTGTGGCCATGCTTTCTACAGAGATGGCTCCAAGAAGATCCTGGGCTTGGCATATCCCAAATCCCAGGCAAAAACCAGAAGCACAGAGTAGCCGCCCTAGATCTGGGGCCCAGCTAGCCTTAAGGACAACCTGCTCCAGGCAGAGGGCCATGAGGAGCTGATGGAGGGGGCAGGGCCCCTGTGCTGAGGGCAAACATGTGCCCCCACGCTTCAGGCATTAGAATAATTTTCAGAGTAGAGAGGAGACAATGACAAGGCCAGCATTACCACGCAGAGAGCAGCAAGTAGAGGCTGACTTGGGTGACAGTGGTGGGCAGTGAGGGTGACGCTGGGAAGAGGGAGGTAAGGCTTCAAAAGTGACTTGCCCACTGCTGCTAAAAATCTCACTGTGCTTTTCAGTGTAATGTCCACAGGAAACAGGAAGAAGATTACTATTTTGAAAATCAAGTAGCAGCCAGGTGTGGTGCAGGCAGAGAGATCCAGGGATCAAGGTCGTCCTTAGCTACCTAACAGATTTAAGTCCAGCTGAAGATACAAGGGTCTCTGTCTCAAAAAACTAAAGGGAACAAAGTCAAATAATAAAGATAAGACATGAGCATGAGCACAAGCACACACAGTCACATGCCAGTGCACACACAGAGCACAAAGTGAGACTTTGCACGGGAGTCCCTTACGGCTGTCACCTCTGCTCCACAGTGATGTAAGAATCCCCCTGACGGGGAGGACAGGCCACAGTGAGACCAAAGTGACACACAGTCCTGGCTTTGGGGAGGACACGACAGCAGGGTCATGGCCCTGAAGCACCCAGAGTCCCCTATCCTTCCCCATGGGTAATCCTTCTGGAGTCCTCATGATAGAGGATTTTGGTTCACACACTGCAGAGTCAAAGTAGGAACCTGAGGGCAACAGGAAGGGGACCCTCTGAGGGCATCTAAGACAAGGGTAACGACCGACGGACAAGCAGACAGAAGTGCAAGCATGGTGAGCTGCCCCACACCCAGTGGTGGGGAGGGACATCTTGGAACAGCTGCCCAATGGATCTATAAATACTTGCCCTTGAGAATGTGATGACAAAGGGATTCCTCCTTCAAACACACCGTGTTTGCTTTCAGCAGGCTGGAGCCCCACGCTGAGAATATCCCCGAGAAGTCTTGCTGAGAGAGAGCTGCCTGAAGGGCCCAGCTCTGCTAGGAACCACACCATCCCCTTTTCAAGTAATACCTACTAACTTGTCTGGGAACTAGTCTCCCACAGGACCTAGAGAAATGAATTGGAGAACTATCTATACCCTAAGGGGGAAAAATCAGCACTTTTAAAAATATAAGGATAGTTGAAATGTCTAAATTTTACAAAAAAAACAACTTTAATTATGAGGAAAATTCATTTGTACACCATTGCCACCACCACTGAAACCAAACAGGTATGTCTCTGCTCCCCAGGAGTTTGGTTTGGGGTCACCTATCATATGTCTGTGGCTGACTCCAGATCACCATTCCAAAACCAAGATCCACAGAGGTCATTATGTGCAGTCTCCTGACCACACAGGGCAGGATAAACTCACCGCCCATGCCTCTCTGTGGCAGGATGCGCTTCAGCAGTGGGCTCGGGGGCTGAGCGTGTGGTGTCTGGGGAATGTGTGCATGTATGTGCATGGGTGCTCAGAGACTGTGTGTGTGGTCTGGGTTACGTGTATGTGAAGTCCTGAGAACAGAAAACGACCACTCCCGAGGATCGCCCTCCTCAGCTGCTCTTGGGTTTCTGCCTGTCCTTTTCTGCCTGCCTCCCAACATAAGCAAACATTGTGAGTGTTCCAACCTGGCTATGGACAGCAAGAGATCCATCCCCTCTATGGCTTTGGGGTTTCTCCCTAAGAAACAACAACAACAAAATGTTTTCTTTTCAATATCCAGATTCTGAGATGGTTTCCTGCATAGGCCCAGTACTCAGGGAACATGTTCCTTCAAAGCAAAGACACCCCAGAAACCTGGACGTGTCCTCTAATCTCAGCAATCCCTGGAGACAGACTGGCAGTGGTCTCCAGACAGGTGCCACAGACAGAGATGAGAAGCGGGGGTGGGGGTGGGGTGGGGTGGGGGCGTGGATCGAGGGAAGTGGGGATCTCACCTGGTATGTGTTGTCAAAGCTGTCATACATGAACCTCGTGATCAGAGACGTCTTCCCGACTGCAAGGTAAAAAGGAGACAGATGTTCAGCTGAAAGAACATGAACCGGGCGGCCAGGGGCTTCTGAACTTGGAAGAGAGACTGGCTTACAAGAACCACAGGAAGGGAGAAGCAGACCCCAGGAAAAAGCCCCCAAGTCAAGGCACTGAGTGTCTACAGCAGGTGAGCTCCAGAGGCACTCTCGTCATGCCCGGCTGCCGTGGAGGAGCAGGCCTACCCCCTCCCCAACTCTACCCCCCACTCCAGGTCTGCCCTGACCTCAGGTACCAGCTGACATTTGATGCCAACAGGGTGGTCTTCTCATAGCTGCCTGTGTTCCCCTGGCCACACCACCTCACCATGGGGCATCTGCTCATAGAGTCTCCCTTTGATTCCCATCTATTCCGCTTGAGCATCGGCAAGGAAGGGGCAGGGGAAGTCCTTTCTTAGTGTCTCTCAAGGGCAAGCCTATTCCCCAGAGTGCACCTGACTGTCCAGCCCAACACTGGCCCGTGAGCTGCCCTAGATCACACTATGTAAGTGATAAGAGAATCCCAGATACTGTGACAACTGAGGGCTTACCCACATGTCTGTAAGCACCCTAAGTGGGGCACCAATGTCCCACTCAAAAACTGCTAGTATGGTTAAGAGGCCAAGAGTCTCTTGGGAGACCTGTAAATTCTGCTAATTCCCCAAACCACAGGGTTTGGCTTCTGACACAACCCCAGTGCAGGTCCCCTGGGACATGGCAGTGATGGAATGCCAACTGCTGTACTTTTAGCCATCTGGGAGGGGAAGAAGGATAATAAAGGGACATTTGTTGGGTTGCTACATGGGACAATTCTCCCCACCACCACCAGGACTCTGCCACAGTCTTGGGAGGCTCAGAAGGGAGCTGTAGGAGGCAGCTATCTCTAACAGGGAAGGCAAAGGCCCCTAAGGCCACGAGCTCTCACCATTCTTCCTTCTCCATGTCCCAGACTGGGACTGGAGGCATGGCTAGTCACTGCTTGGGCAGGACAGGACAACCCAATGAACCATAGAAAGTTCCTTGTTGGGCCTAAATCTGCAGACATGTAACATTCCTGACAGCCAACACTGGCCAAAGACAGGCAGGAGCTCCTGAGAGACCGGGTCTGGGCTGCAATCAAAAGACCCCAAGTCTGACCCAGGTGAGGTCAAATCCTACTGGGGCACTTTTTAGCTATGTCACCTTTGAGTAGGAAGTCACCACTCCTCTGGACCTCACTGTAACATACCAAAGATGGCAGAGGCTGCAATAGGAAGTAAGACAATAAAAGTGAAAACATGTGGGAAGAGGTGTCAGGTCACTTGAGACAGCTGAGGCAGGTTCTAGAATGTCAGAATGACAGGAGGAAAACAAAACCACCAGCACTAAAGTTGTATAATGAACCTCCTTTTCTTGGGGTGGGGACATTATATGCTTGGATTGGCACTTTAGGGGGTGACAGGAGTATCCTTGTTTTTCCTAAGCCTTAGTCATGACACCTGAGCCTATTAATGAGGTGGTGGCTCCCTAGGTGGCCTCAGGAAGAGGCTGTCAATCACATGACCAGAGGGGTGGTGCCTGGAGCCAGTCTAAACCTCAGGGAAGGGAGGAAGGCTGGAGACTGAGCAGCACGTGGACAACGCGTCTATACAGTGAACTCCCAGTAAGAACTCTAGACACCCACAGCCTGTGGAGGCTGGCCGGGGAGCCTCCTGGGTTGTGGGCACACAGATGTGCCTTGAAGGTAGACAGGCTGTGATGTAGGGGGGAAGGGGGGAGGGCCCAGTCGGTCTGCATTCAGGATACTCCTGGAGCTCACTGATTGGGGAGGCTGGCTAGCTCCAGGAATCGGCCTGTCTCTGCCTCCCCAGGGCTGTGACTACAGAAGGACAATATGACATCTGTAAGGCAGTGCTGGGCACTCAGGTCTTCATGAGTGCATGGCAAGCTACCAACTGAGCTCTTTCCTCACTGCCCCTCACCCCTGCAATTGCAATCTTAAGGGTGCTTTCCTGAGTGTCTGCTGTTGAACCTTAGGGGCACTAGGAACCCCCTGGATTTAGAACTAGTGGGTCAGAAGTATAGAGGTCTTGGGACCCCCCAAACATTATCCAGCTTCTCTACTTGAAGACAGTTCCTGACAGGCCTGGCACCCCTTTTCATCCCTCTCCAGGCCATCATTTAGAGCATTTGTTTCTGCTCTTTTATTTCTGATCAATTTGTTTTGTCATAGTCCCACCTTGGCCAAGTATGAGACTGCAGGGTCTCTGTCCTGACCCTGGATTCTGAGGTCTCTGGGTTCAAGAGTCTTCAGGGGACGGGACTGCCCTGCTCTGAACACAAAGCCTGACGATGCTACCAGATACCAGGAACTGCAGGGAAAGGTGTTCTCCATGGCTGTCTCCAGGAACCCCCAGGTCTGAGCAGAGATAATTACAAGACATCCCCTCTGTCCACCCACACTGACCCCACCACGGCATCAAATCAAAGAGCTTCAGGGCTCATGCTTGGGGTGCTCTCTGCCAAGCTCATCTAACCCTGAAGGGCAGAAGACCCTCCCCTCCCCTCTCCTTCCCTTTCTTGCCCTCTACAACAGCCCTGGGTAGAAGAGGCTGGAATCTGGAAATAGACCAGATTAGGTGCTACTGTAGGTCATGGCAAAAGGGAGGGCTGGAGGGGGGGCAGCACTCAGTATGCACCAGGACAGGCAGTGGGGGGAGGGGCAAGAACCGCTGGTGAACCTCAGCCTCTAATCCCTGCAGGAACCCTCCAGAGAGCCCGCCTCCCACCCTGCTCCATCCTCAAGGTCACCCTGTCGCACTGCCAACAATGGCTCACAGACACTACAGCAAAGCTGGGCAGGACTTCATTAGAGACAGGCAGGGGATCATTACAGAGCTCTTTTTACCCCATCAGGGCTCGGCAACACCGCTTTGTCATCTCCTGGATGCCCTGGCCCACATGATTAAACCGACAGGAGCATGACTCTTCTTCCAACCAAATGAAGGTGAGAGAAGTCATCCCTGGACACTGACCAGGGCCCTCTGGGAAGGAGGAAACACCCGTGCTCAGTGAGCTTCTACTTAAACCAAGCAGGGGATTTGGCACTGTCCTTGGGTTGCCTCAGGGACCCTCCTCCGTTCCACCCTATGCATTGAGATACCCAAGGTCACAAAGAGGACAGGCAGTGGAGCTGGGAGCACAGCTCTGCAGCCTGCACCTTCGCCTCAGCTACTCCTGGGAGCTGCTTCGTGTCGAGTCTGGCAAGCAACGGACCCTGGGGTCTTCAAGCAAAGCTGCTGGTGGGAAGGTGGGGTGGGCAGCAGGACCACAGACAGTGCAAGCAAATGCAGAGGCAGGGGGCGGGGGTGTTCATTAAGAAAGGAGAGGTTATCATGGGGACACTAAGTGGAGGTCACTCAGTCTTAACACGGCCTTACAGATAATGGAGCCAGTCACTGTATGTGAAGAGAGAAGTAAACAGAAAACACTGTTCTCAGAAGCTTCGAGAGGCTGCAGGGGTTGACTGAAACAAAAGCTCACCTCTGGGGCTAGCTGTGGAGGTCTACAAGGGGCAGATGGAAAGGCAAGGCAGTTGAGAGCTCCACAAGAGTCATCAGCACATGGAGTGTAGATGTGATGGTAGTTCAACATCCCCACCATAGATTGACAGAGTGGTCCCCACTGCACAGACTCCCACACAGGGTGCGGATGTGCAGGGATGGTAGTTCTATATTCCCACCATAGAATGACAGAGTGGTCCCCGCTGCACAGATTCCCACATGGGGTGCGGATGTGCACAGCGATGGTAGTTCTATATTCCCGCCATAGGTTCAGAGAGTGGTTCCCATTCCACATGCTCTCACAATGCAGGTCTGACACTCATTCAGGGGTTGAGTCTGGGGGTGGATGACAGAAATGGAGCTGTATGACTCCCAACAGGAGGCAAGAAAGGGCAACCTGCGTGCCTGAAGTGTGCTCCCGTCCTAGAACTAGGCTCTCAGATTTCATGAGCGCCCATGCCAGCCCACCTGGGTGGGATCACTCCGGTGTGATCCTGTGATAAACACCTGAGACACCCCTACGGTAGGTGACCTGTGCGTGAATGAGCCTTCTCATTCCGAGAACTCTTGCCTTAGCCTCCAGGCTGCTTTCAACCCTGCATGCTCAGAACAATGCATACCTGCCCTGCTGCGTCTTGCTCCAATTACGAACCGAGAGCCAGGTAAATAGCTTCCTTTCCTTGGGCAGCTGAATGTGGGGTGGTTTGATCCAGGGCACGAGCTATTCAGAGTCAGTTGTGAGCTTTAAAAGAACTCATACTGCTCTGAGAGGCTGGCTACAGAGGCCACCCTGGAGGAGGGACAGAAGTCTGGTGAGAGATGGACCATCTGGAAGGACGCGGGGGCAACAGGGGTGAAAGAACAGAGGTGACAGGACCCCACAGTAGGCCAGAGTTGAGTGGGAGCCCAGGATGTCTCCAGTCACCTGGCTTTGTAACTAGCAGCTGATGGAGCCATTCTTTGGGCTCCAGCACCCAAGGAGAGATCAGGTAATCGGCTTGGATTTGGATTGCTATAGAAGCCTTCCTTATAATGATCAGGGCACACACGTAGGCCCTGTTTCCAGAAAGCAAATAAGTAAAAGCAATCATTCGGTCTCACGAGCAAAGGATCTATGCCTATTTTCTAGGAAATACCTATTTTGTTTGAATTCTCTCCCGAGCTGCTGGACCACACTCTTCCATACCCTCATTCAGTGAGGCACTGAGTCCCACACACCACGGCAATACCACCAGCTGCTGGATAGACTGAACCCTGGCCTTGGTGGCCTGCTACCGGGGCCTGCCTGGCTGTCTCCTCAGGGTCCATGCACTCCACTGGCCTCCCACAGTCTGTGGGCCCAGTGACTCAGCACAAGTTCCAGTCTGACAAATTTCTGTACACTCTGGTGGCTTCTACGTAGCTGTAGAAAACAGAGAAGTTTCTGCATTAGGAGAACTGGGTGCTGA